TGAACCGGGGACCTTCTTGCTGCGAGGCGATGGTGCTAACCACCGAGTCACCTTGCAGCCCCGTTTACTGACATCAGTAAAACGTCTTATAGAGGGAAAGTCTTTTTAATTAGTGCACAATGAGAAAATACTGCCAACTGCCAGAAAAATCTGTTTTCACCATGTTTTTAAGAACAAAATGTTTCATAAATCAGGTTTTGTGTGACGTGTGAAGAAGCCTCTGTGTAAAAACCTTCATCGTATGAACAGGAGTAAAACTGAAAAGTCTGCTGTATTTAAGTGCTACTGAGATGTCTAACTCCATAGTGCTCATTGTTATTGGAACCGCTCTTTACAGTAAAAACGTTTAACCTCATCACTTATGTTCTTATCAGCCCCAGAATCAATGAGAGCTGAAACAATGGATGGAGACGGACTGACGAAGGTTGTGGTCTGGGCTGCAGGTAGAGAGGCCAGAGCACTCCTCCAGTAGGTGGGTGTTAGTCCAAGCTGAAAGAGAGTGAGTATAGGTCTGATAGCACGTTAGACAAGTCTCTTCTTGACCTGATCTGAGAGAGTGAAACTCAGTGGTTTTCTCTGCTGCTCTTCACTGATTTTGAAGCAAGCTTACAACACAGGCTGCTGGTCAGAATCAGCAGGTTCACCTGAGTACTGCTCTGGTTGAAGCAAGTCGGGTTCATGGACCACATTGTTGGTGGCCTTACTGTTTCCATCATGCTGCTGAGCACCTGTTACCGAAGAGAGCCTGAGCAAAGTTGTTCATCCTTTCCAATTATGACTCCTTGTCTGCTGGCTCAGTGCTGGTCAGTTTATGCTAACAGGATTTCAAGGAGGGCTTAAAGGACTTACAGGAAGTGGATGTCTTGGAGGGTCTACTGTATGAAGCTGGCTGCTTGCAGAATTTCATCAGGAAATGTTTAACCGCCTCTGTCTCCGTACACAACGAGACTGTCTTCCCAATAACATGTGGCTGGCATTGTGTTGCAGTGGGACAAAAGTGAACCTGGGGCTTTGTTTGCCCTTGAGCCCTTTGCTATGGACCATTTTTTAGTGCTGATATTCTGACACCCTCCAACGATACTTAACAACACGAGGTGAGTTTGGTTCAATCAGCAGGCTCACAAACTGCTACTGGCCGACACACTGCAAGGTAACTCATTAATTCTCCAGACTGCAGACTGATGAGGGCCTTCTTCCAATCTGTGTGCAGGAAAATTTGATACCATGTTCAGGTTCTTTGAGACCATTGTAGTAGTCGGGTAAACATATGCCATTAAAATTAGGATACAATAACCCAGGTTATACTCTCAGTGTAAATGAAGGTCTACATTTATGTCCAACAAGTATTCAAAATAGCCACGACATGTTCTATCAAAGTCCCAAAGGATGAATGCCATTAAGTTCATTTTCCTTTAGTGATCCTCTGACTGTCAATCCGGTGTCTTAATCTGTTTGTTTCTTACATTTTTTTCAGCCCTCTGGTTTATGACCAAACACATACAGAACCTGCAGAACCAACGACCCGACCACACTGTTCTCATTTATTTTTTTAATGTGTTCTTTGCATTTTTCAGATTTATTCGTTAAAATATGTGTTAATTCACACACTATACATAATTGACACAGATGTGTGATGAATAAATCCCTGAGTCCTGAATCTTTTAACTGCATTAAATAATGATGTGCATAAATAAACTACAAATACTGAAAACTAATGTGCTCCTCCTTGGAAATTCCAGCTCTGTGTCATGTAGTCATTGATTCTGTGATTGTGATGCTACAGTCAAAAGAATGGCTGTTGGAACACGAAGCATTATGGCTTTATTATAACCTGCAGTATTTAAAACAAAAGAACAACAACGATGTGACAGTAAGGACCGCTGTGCTGTACACAGGACCGCCGTC